ATCATAGTTTTTAAACGGTTATATTAACACATATCAACGACATAAGGTTATGTGTTACACGTGTACAAACAACAAGAGATGCAGGAATAATATTCTACATATAAGGGAGTTCAAATGAATAAGTGACAAGTATGAGGGGATTTAAGTATAATTTATCCATTTAATTTTAGACGGTAAACTAACTGTTGTTAGTTTCAGGTGTGTATTAATATAAATATTTATTTTTGAGGGTACAAATTAAGATTTTTAATCTTTGATTGTTTAAATTGAGATTCGAATGATTTTTCAGAATACAATTAAAGGTAAACCCTAACTTTTAATTTAGTCATTACATCAAAATTCACTGACATATCATGATGGAATGATCTTCTATGACCAACATGACTGTGTAAAGGATATATTTGCCTCATAAAAATCTACTACGTGCAAACTATAAATTTTTATTTTATTTCATTAGAATTTGAGAAAAAAAAACAAACTTGGAAAAAAATACAAATTGAGAATTTGAGAGATTTTTTTATTAGATAAATATATTCTTATGGACAAATCAAGTGATGTCTTTTTGTTCTAATAAATTAATATATTTGAATAGAAGTATTAGATTGGAACTCGGTTAAAATTTTAGGAACGTAATTATATAAATTAAAATTTCAAGGACCAAATAAAAACTACTACAATGACACGAACCGTCCACGAACCATCACGTGTCGGACCGGGCATCACGTGTCGGACCGGGTCGGGACATAACCGGTTAAGCTGTCGGACCTTCGCGACACGTTACTGGTTGCCGACGTTTCACCTTAACACAAAACCTCCACGTTTACACCGTCAATTATAAAATGACAAAAATACCCCCATGATATTTCTCATATTCCTACCTCTAATTTCACTATTGTATGTATTCCGTTTTCTCTCTCCTCTTCGAACCTACGGAGAGAGAGAGAGAGAGAGAGAGAGAGAGAGTGTAATCGACTCTTTCAGTTTCAGAGAGTGCGAGAAGGGAGAGGGAGAGGGAGAGGGAGGGGGAGAGGGGCACAAAACTTCTGCATGCTATAAGTTAGCCCGTTCAATTGTTGTGAACTTAGGGTTTGTTTTATTAGAATCTTTTTTGTTTTCTTGAATTAGGGTTTCGGAATCTTTTACATATATATGTGTTTATGTATATATCCGGAAGCCATAATCTTTATCTAATTTTGTTTCTTGTATCTGAGCCTTTATGTTATAGGGCTCTGTTGGTTGAGAATCAAAATTTGTGTATATGTTGATGGCGGTAAAGATAGAGGACTAGGGTTTGTTTTGGTTTCTAATGGGGAGCACAGCTGAATCAGACCGAAAAAGACGTCACTTAAGCTCTATATCACCCACAGCTCTTGTTGCTGTTGCTAAAAAACAGCCCTCTGCTCCCTCATCTGAAGATAAAAAAGTATGGTTTTCCTCTTAACCTTTTGCAATTTTTCGAAATTCATGCTGTCTTTTGTGATTTCATGCACTGTGCATGACTTTGTGAACCTCCTTATTAGATTTACATAAGGATCAATACTAAGAACTATAACAATTTCTAACAATCCTGTCCTGGGTTTAATGAATTGTTTAAAATTATGGACATGCATTGTTGGTCTGTTGTAGTGTTAGTAGTGATACTGTTTTTGCAAGTTATTTGCATTGATTCTGATTTTTTAAGGGCATCGTATGTGAGTTGCCTTGATTTATATTTCCTGTTCTGTATTTCTTTTTCTGGTAGGATGGGGTTTACTATGTTTCCTTTCCTTACATTTTCTCCAATTGGACTACTTTATGTGGGATATGTGATCGCAACATACATGATAATGCTGTTAGTGAAGAGAATATTCTATTTAAGTGGTGGGGTTGACTTGTTATGTGGTGCTGGAGACTAATATCTTGCTGACATTTGTGAATTTGTTGTACTCATGTGGTATTATATCCATCATCATAGTCTTTTAAGCAAATAAATGGATCGATTGTTATTGTAGTTGCTGGGGAACTCAGCTGTGGGCTGAATTTTGGCTTGGAAGCTGGGAGGGAAATTATGGTAGGTTAGGGGAACCAACTTTTGATAAGCTCAAATGCCTTGTAAATTCATTAGGAACATGTCTTATAATATCTTCTTTAAGATTTTAAACAACATGAAGATTGTTTATGTTGGAGTGATATCATTGAAAAAATAGTTATAACTTCAGTCTACGTTTGGCATTAACCCAGGGAAAAGGAAAAATAGGAAGACTATTTGAATATTTGATATAATCAAACGGTCATTCTCGGAACCGTACCACTACTGACGCAAGATTACATTGTTATCGAAGGCTAATGTGTTGTGGAAAATTATTGAAAATATTGCTGGTTTTGGTGGAAGCTTGGTTGGCGTTGATGAAGCTCACTGTTGTCAACAAAAGAATAAAAAATTTGCTAGTGCTAATAACTAGTAGTTTTATCATTAAGTGGTAATGACAGTGAGATGAATTGTAACTTATGGTAGATACAACTTTTAATGCCCTTCGAAGAACATTATGATTTGTAGGTCATATTGGCTAATACTAATCTTAGTAAGAAAGCAACTTGTGGTCATTAATGTTTGTGACCTTAATGGATGATGTTTAGGCTTGGAAGGACGATCACTTTTTTTAGGCCAATGTGCCAATATCGAAACTGGGACACGTGTTGGACGTGTTAAAATGAGTGTTGGATGTTTTTAAATACTTGTTCTAGTACATGTTTTTGCATGCAGGGGACATGTGGAGAAAACGTTTTGGACACGTGACAGGTACACAAAGGAATCATTGTGTACACATTTTGGGGTTTTTAACAAATCTTTACAAATTAGGTAACTTAAAAAAAAAAGGAACTTATTTTGGTAATTCTATAGAGATATGGGCCAAAGTTGTGAAATGAAGATGGCTGTAATCTAGCTTTTATTAGGCCGTTCTCGGTCTCTTCTTAATTTTGTGAGATAGAGCAAGTATTGACCTAGCGGAAAGACGATTGAGAGGTTTTGTTGCTCGATTTCAAGTCTTATTGAACAGGAATTACGTTTACGAAATTGGGGTTTTTTGAATTTTTAATTGTAGTAAGTATCAAACGTTGGATCATGGATGTTTAGGATAAATCTATATTGATATGTTTGATATTTTATTTTTGTTCTTATGATTTTGTGATGTGAATTGTTTGGATTATTGAAGTTTGAAGTAAACGATTGTTTTCAAGAGATATTTACTGATATAGTCATGTGATTTAGTGGGATTGTTGCATTAATCACTTGATAGTTGATCTCTTGTGATTTGTCGATTTATTATTCCTAATTTGTTTGGAATTATTATATTTTATCGTGTGGTCATGGATACAAATAAATGTTTAATATTCATTGGGTCCCTTAATGTCAGTGTCTCACTTTTTTTGAAAAATTCCCTGTTGGCATGTCGTATTATTTCCATATCTGTATCTGTGCTTCTTAGTGTCAAGGTTCCGTGTTTCGGGAAGGTGTTCTTAGCATGTTTCCCTATTTTTGATGAGCCTTAACATGTGGAGGTGAGGATTAATGAATGTTGTCAAGATTTAATGGGTATTATGGGTGAGAGAACTGGTATATTGTTTGAAGAAGTGTTTTTGAATATTTTCCTAGCTGTTAAGTAATGCTAATCATTAAATAGTGTAACAAAATTTTTCTTGTTTCTAGAATCTTTTTGGGCAAAAGTAAGATTCACATGTTGTCATAATTTTTTTCTACCATTCTTATTCTTTCAAATTAAACTTCCAAGTACTGTATCAATTGGCAGCTTCAGGAACACAATGGTTTTGGATTCTGTTCTTGGTGGCGTTGGATGCGTATATTTGAGTCCGTTGGATGGTCTTATTAAAACCTGCTATAGGAGTGAGATTTGCTTGAGGCTCTTGCATGCCTAGCTCTTTTATTCATTTTATTTTGCACTCCTCAAAATCTTTGACTTGCATAATGATTCTGGTCATCGTCCACTTCAATTAGAAAAGAGTGGCCACTATGGACGAATGTTGTACTCCTCAAGTCTGATTTCTTATTTTAACAAACACATCGTGCTCTAGGTGTCTGGCGTTTTAGTTGTGGCAACCCTAGGTTTGAAGAATTTGATGACAGGCCTTTGCTGAAGTTAAAAACTGCTGAAATGACATATTTTGAGCCTGCAGCTCCTATCGAGTCCATGTATCTTTCAAAAGGGTTCTGAAGTTTTCTAGGTTAATATTTGAATTCAGAAGTGTGAATGTTTGCTTCTAAAGTGTTAGCGTTACTAAACAATAAGTTATTGTATTGCAATTATTTCCAGTATGGGGCCTTTGCGGAAGTTGTCACTGTGTTTGTTTCTTATGGGGTTTAATTTTGAATTATTGAGTTTGGATCAAGTTCGCATCAATTGTTTCTTCTGAAGCTACATACTGTTGGAGACAGGAGTTATTGCCTCCATCTTTAACAATATAGGACTATGATTTCTTGTCTTGGAAGTTGAAGCTGGATGACAATTAGTTTATGGCAGCTTTTTACTGTAGTGTGAAAGCAAAATGGTGAATAACATGTATACTTGTATGTATTTTATCAAACAAAAGTGATAACATAGGATGCCCCTCATATTAATCGTAGTTTATTTTGACAATTTTCCCAAAACTTGTCCAAAATGAGAAATTATGGGCATTGATGCTTAGAAATGATCTGTTCAGTAGAAGTCGTAGCTGGCTTTCCTCCCCTCTTGTTTGTTTTTTTTAGTCACATGTATTTATTGTTCAATTTTATTGACTTCTGGCGGAGTTTGTTTATATTTTTATTTTTGATGGTTTTTGGATATAATTTGATGGCCCTTTTTTCGTAAATATTATTTGTGACCTGTTTATAGCTGTATTGAGAACTTGTATGTGGACTTGGGGCAAGATTCACTAACTATTTACTGCCTGGAATCAGTCTTCATTACTGAGGGAAAGAAACGTTAGAAAAGACTATATATGGATGAGGGAATGCTCATCGCATGAGACCTGGGCTTTTCTTCCATTCATTTGTATTCTTGAAGCTTCTTTGCTTGATGGCATCGAGGGTGCCAGTGATTGGTTCTGGTTATGTAATGGTAGACTCTTGTGTTTTAACTATAATCGCTGCTGAATCGCTGATATTTAAGAGTATGTTGCCATAAGTGTTCTAATACTGCATTCACTTGGCTGGTCCTTAGCTTCAGATTACTGATGGTATTCTGTCTTTCCTTTTTTCTGTTCCCCAATGAGGTAGCTTGACACTGCAGTACTTCTATTTCAAAATCAAAAGCTTGTTCAAAAGTTAGAGGCTCAGAAGTTTGAGTGTGTTGCTCTTGAGAATAAATTTAGTCAGTTGAGGGAGAAACAGCAACAGTATGATAACACATTTGCAGTGGTCAATAAGTCTTGGGAAGAGGTAGCTGCCTTTTTTTTTAAATTTAATGTTCTCTAAAAATTTTTGGTGGGATGCATGCACTATCTTATCCTATTGATGGCAATTTTTCTCCATGTTTTTGCTAGCTGGTTGATGACTTGGTATCTTGTTCTATCCGTACAAAGGACTCATCATGCCTTGGGAAAGATGTTGGACACCGATTAATTACAGAAGGTGATTGTCTGCCTTATAGTTATGTTGTTTCATGTGTTTCTCTTCTGTATTTTGTGTTTTTGATTTTTTGAAGTGCTTCATGCACAAGTACCTCAATTTGTGGTATGGATTGGGTTTGTTTCTCCATTAATGATAACATTGGCCGGGGCTTTTTATAATGGCCTATTAGTTTTGGCTGACTAAGTGCCACCCCTACCTGCTTCTTTTTTTTTTTTTTTATAAATTTGGTGATGCATTATATTATACTTTTGAGCAAAATCCAAATTTTTTTTTCTTCAAAACTATACTTGGGTTGGTATTTAATATTTTTTTTTTATTGTAATTTTTGGAATTGATATTTCATATGGATTGAGGTTGGATTCAATAATTTTGTATGTTTGGGAGTTCGGGTGTCTGTGGGAATTGTAAGTCCAAGAAGCTTGCAAGTCCCAAGAAGCTTGTGAGACGAGCAACCAAATTTCTCTGAATTAATTGTCAGGCTGTATATGTATTTGTACCTACACCATGTGCCTTTTTTCTGGTGAAATAAGCCATTAATGCTTTTATTCTCTGATATCTCGTTTCCTCCCCTCTGCTTCTTCATGGTTGTGGGATGTCTGTTGTTCTTCATTGTTCTTCTTTGACTTGGTAGCGTTCTGTTGACCTAGAATTTTCAACTGTACAAAATGTAATTGCTAATTCAGTTTTCGAAATTTGATCTCAGATGGTTCTTCGTCTCTCCAGGAGGATGCTTTTCTAAGCCGACTTCTTGAAACAGGTGCAACTGAAAGTACCTGTACTAGCAACTCTCTCAATCAGATAGAAGAAGAGAGACAAGAAGCTGGTGAAAAGACCAAAAACTTATTGCATAACATAGTAGCTGCCATTGATGACCTGTGGTGTTTGAAGGATGGATTGTACACTGCAGTTTTGAAGGCACGTCCAGAAGATTGTAAGACTACTGGGATAGGTGATTTTGTATAATATCTGTTCCAAGCATATTGCTTTTTAAGTTTTTTCCTCAGATTTTTGTGGGTTCGGCTCTTCTCTTTCTAGGTTCCTGCAGGGAAAGGACATCTATGGATTTAGAGGTGGAAGTTAGGAATCTGAGATTGGCAATTGGTAATATTCATTTGAAGCACAAATCATTGGTAAGGGAAATGCAGATTGCTCGAGATACTGATGCGAAAAATAAAGCTGATCTTGAGCGTTTGAGAGGTAACTTCCTACCTGTCGCCAAGATAAATGCTGATTTACATAATAGGGAATCACATAATTTGTATCTAATAGTCAGATTGTTTCAGATGATGGCCTATATAGTGTGGGATCATGTAATATGATGCGATTTATTAATTTATTTAATTTGATAGGAAGATGTGATTAATCTATCATAGAATCTGGTTTTCCTAATTGTGCTCGAGTGAATCTTAGTCTCTGTTGCCAGTTGCTAAGTTGAGAGTAGAGAGGGGTGAGCTTAAGGGTTTGGTGAACTTTTTGTAGAAGAGCATTGATTATATTTGCTTGGGAATTGCTAAGTTCCTTGAAGGGCATTGGTTACTTTGTATGGGTGCATCATTATCCTTGTCATTTATTATGCTTAGAAGCTGAAGGCTTGATGCGGGTTGGTGCATTTGGTTTCACCTTAGCATGTGCTTCAAGCCTATAATTCTCGGGCCTAGAAACTCTACAAGTCAGTAGTTTAAGGTAAGCTCAAGTAAAACAACAAAAACGTAACTTGGCTGTAACTTTGCTTGTGTATGTGTCCGGAAAGTATTTATCATATAACATGGGTTCAGTTTTGTCCTGGATGTTATATTTATAGTTTTTTTTTGAATGTGTGGATGTATAGGAGTGAAGTTAATATGTAAAGTTAATTTTGGTTTTCTTACAAATTTAACTGGAAAGTTTATGACCAAAGAGAAAGAAATCAGTAGGGAAGTTGAGATGTGAATTAAATAATTGCTGTTAAATTTCATCAGCTTTCAATTGTCCAGACGGTTCCAGCATTCTGTTTTTGTTATGATGAGTTATGTGTGAGTCAGGACTTGATTGATCAGGGTACTGTTTGCAAGTGTGTTGGTTCATACCTTCGTATAGGTGCTCTTGTTTTATTACTTCATGTCTGTGTTTGATGCTATCCTTTTTCCAGGTCGGAGATTTGTTAACATTGTAATGTCTCATTAAGATTTGGAAGTCCTTATGGTAAATCCTGTGGGATGGAAGCATTATTCAAGTTCTTCTTTTCACATATGTGACAAGGATCCAGTCACCTTGCATAATCTTTTTTTTTTGGGCACCATATCGCCATCATATGTCTCTGTGCAATGATGTGATCCTTTAAGGATAATCCTGTGGCATGGTCTTGAATTTTGTTTTGTATGGAAACATCTTTGCATTTAAAATATCGATTTTGATACATTTGAAGACCATTTGACATATCACAGCAGCCTTCTCCACTTCCTCTCTGGACTTAAAAAATTTGTTGCTTTATGCATCATGAATTAAGAAAGTTCAAAATGCTGTTGTTTGACTTCTCTATCCATGAACTTCATGTGGTAGTATTCAATGGAGCATTTCTTTTGAAGTGTGCAGATCCAGAAATAAATAGACTCTTGCTAGACATTCTTCAGTTGCAGTGAAGTTTTTGCATGCTTCTCTTCTCTCTCTAAAGCTTAATGTGGATATCATGTTCTGAAAATTGCAGACATGGCCAAAAGGTCAATAAAAAGGTGACTGTTATCTTTTGGTTGTTTTCTTGAAGGGGAATTGGAAAATACGCTTGCAGAATTGGAAGAGAGTAATTGTAAATTGGCAACTCTAAAAGCGGAGGGGGATGTTGCAAAAGGGGCATTTTTCCCTGTCCTAAATCTGGTGGGGAGCAAGAATGTTGCTAGTGAGAGGACAATTGATAAAGAAAAAGATTTGCAAGATATGAAGTCTGCACTAAAGGAGTTGTTGGTAATTGCATTTTGTTTTACTTTGATGCATTTTTTATAAATTCAGGCTGGTTATATTCAGTGGCTTGTGTTCCTGCGTAGGACCAATCCTGTAGTCGACTATTTGAACTCAAGAGTCTCCATGAAGAAAGGATAGAAATATTGAGGCAGTTGTGCAAGTTGCAGGTTGACTTCTTGATTTTTCTGTTTCCATCTTATAATTACTACTTTTGTTCACGTTCAGAATGTCTTCCTTGTCAAATCTCATGTACTCACTGGTGGATGTTTCTGATGGGAATGCTTCCTTGACAGAATACTTTGAAGAATGTGAAGTGTATATCCTCTTCCCAAGCCTACGTCTTGGTAAGAGATCAACTTGTGAAGGCAAAAGCAGATGTAGTCCAGTATCAAGCGCTATTTGAGAAACTACAGGTTGTAACTGGTTGGTAGTTTCATTTATGCCTTTGTGTATCTTGCATTGTCCAATTCTAATGCTGATTGATCTTCTGTTGAAATTGCAGTTCGAGAAAGATAACCTTGCCTGGAGGGAAAAAGAAATGATCCTGAAAAATGATTTACTTGACGTCTTTCATCGATGTTCTGCAGTTGATGATTCTAGAATAGCTGAGCTGGGAATAGAGTTACAGAAACGAATTAATGAAAGAAATCTGATTGAATCTAAGCTGGAAGAAGCATCAAAAGAACGTGGTATTAAGATGCTGAAATATTCAATATTCAATCTATGTAGGCTCTCTCTGTATGATTTAATATGCTGAAATCTTGTTGTACATATTGTTTATTTTAGGCAGGAAAGAAATTATTGCAGAGTTCAAGGCTTTAGTTTCTTCATTTCCTGAGGAAATGAGCAGCATGCAGAGTCAACTAAGTAACTACAAGGACGCTGCTGCAGACGTTCATTCTCTGCGGGCTGATGTTCGATCTCTTTCCTGTGTTCTTGATCGTAAGGTGGTGTGTCCTTGATATACGTGCTGGCCTATTCTTTGATGCACTTGAAGGGTTGAACCCTCAGCTTTTGTTTATACAGGCTAAAGACTTAGAAGCCTTATCTGCTAGATCAGCGGACCAAATTACTGAAATGCAGAAGTTGCAGGCTGTGGTAAGATATGTTTTTAATTACTTTTTGAAGCTAAAGGGTAGCAATTATAGCAGGGATGCAACATACTGTTGTTGAGCCATATGAACTTTGTGTGACTTCTGCATTCTGATCAAGTATAGAACAGTCCTAGGTCTACAATGCTTACACATTTCTGAGCATGCTTCTTAGCTCTGTCTTCGAACTAGAATTGTATAGCCATCTCTCTCCTTGCTGTGCCTCGATGTATATTTCATTCCGATTGGACGTACATTCTTAAGTGGAACAGTTATCCAAATTGTAGTAAGGTGGTCATTTATTTCTCCAATTGCATTATGACTCCATGCTCTTTTAAATTGTCACTTTTGTGATGAATTAACAAAATGGTGATCAAGAGTACATCTAAGGGAGGGATAGAGGGCCCAAGGAGGATTAATAATGAAATCTAATCAAGCTTTGAAAATTATTGTTTCAGTAGGTCTGTATGCGAATGATAACTAAGTGCTTGATCAGGGTGATGTGGGTTACTGAGTGTTGTGTTTCCATTGGCTAGTGCTGCCATTCACTAACCTTTGCAATCTGCATTTTAGAATATGCAGCTTGAGGCAGCAACTTTTTTATATTTAAAAGTTTGAGGTTGTGTTGGCATAACTTCTCAAAATAGAAGTCCATCTTAGTGATGGACTCACGTAATGGGCTTCGAAAACATACAAAATGGTTGGTGAACATGCAACTGACATCAAAATCATGCTTTATCCAATAATTAGAGCCGTTCACACCGGGAGGAGAATGGTTATGGTATTTTCAGACTTCTCTTTAAGCCACTTTTCATGGCTCAACCAATACGGCTTCTTTACCGTCCCATTTGCAGCACTGATTTCTAGATGCCTCGGTAATGCAAGTTGTTCGCGTGGTGCCTTCCCTTTGTTGGATTGCGTTCCTTCTGCGTTGCACAAGCCATATTTGAGAGAAAGTTTGCCTTTTTTTTGTTGTTTTATATGTAGAGGAGATGGTGAAAATTAATTGTGCTACAGGGTTAGAAAAGATTATGTCCTAGAAATATGGGGGTAATAATGGAATGCAGTCAAAATTAGTTGAATGAGATGACCAACTTTGCAAGAAGTAAAAACATGTAGTTTAGAGAAGCTCGGTAAGTTAGCTTCTGCGGATGTGTGTTTTGGGATGGCACTTGTTCCTCAGAAGTTGGAAGTGTCCATCCACCAAATAGCCAGTGATTTCCTAAATGGACTTTTTGGCCCAAGAAGCCCCTCCATGAGCCATGTCGAATGTACACTCCATTTTCTACCATCATGGATTTCTTCTTGAATTTTCTATAGGTTTTTCTTATGGGAGGAAATACAAGAAACAATAATCATATGCGATAGGACCAAGTTTTGTGGGCAAAATGGGCAACTGGTTTGACAAGCTAGCAGCCAAACACAATAGAAATAGGTGGTGTTACCTCATTAGTAGATTTTGGGCATGGTTTTGATGTGAGCTTATTAGCGGTTTGCTTCTTTTGTACTTTTGGTGTACCTGGCTTGCAACTGCTTTTGTATGTGTTTTGTTAATAGAAAAGGAAAAATACATTGACTTCTAGACGGCAGAGACTATAGTTAATGGATTATTTTTCTATCTCTCACCGAATACAAATTATGTGTACTCAATG